ATGCTTCAAAGAGCAGGAAAGCTGACTTAAGCTTTAGATTAAATACCAAAATCTCTTATCCTTCCATATTTGTCATATGTTATAATCCTTGCAAGAGTGGCCTCTGCAATAATAGGAAAAGAATTCTAAAGATTGGCTTGACAGATTAACAACGGCATTATACATAAATGGTGGTTAGGGAACAGTTATGGGGATTTTAAGTTTTATAAATGAGAAATGCTCATTTATATTAAAATGTACATGAATTTCCAATGGGAATGTTTCCTGACTTAAAAGTCTTACTTCTGAGGACTGATTTATTCTGTCGCATATATGAACAAGAAACTCCCCCTGGCTAGTTGCCAGGGCAAGGACATATACTTTATGGATGCGTAATTCTAAAGAGGTTGATTCTCCTTCCAAATTTTGACTTGTCAAAAAAATGGCCAGTGATAATTTTCTGACTGCAGTTCTAGGAAGATAGTTCATACTATATCTATAGTTTGGCTGTAGGTGTGAGGGCTTAAACACGGTGATTAAACTCTAGAATTTTTTTCCTTCCTATTACCTGAATTACTTTAGTTTCCACATTGAAACATTATTCCTTTAAAATAGACTTTTATTTTCCTGAGATAATCTATGATTTATTTTAATGAAAACATTTGAAATTGATTCACTTTTGGACATTCCTCTTTAAAAAACACACTGTCAAAATACTAATTATACAAGCTTGAACTCCATCTGATTCCCGTGTTAATTTCCATAATAAAACAGTTTTCATATGTGTCACTGATTCATAAGGAACTGTTGCTTTTATAAAATATAAATAAATATAACTCCTTGAGGTATTCTCCAAAACAGACACCTCTACCTTAACACCTTCCCTCTAAATCCCAGAATTATGCTGCCTTGAAAATGACCTTCAGAATCAGTTGAGAAGCCCTGGGAAATTCATTATCTCTGGGAGAAAGAAAGGTGTGTACTCCCTCTTCCCAGCATCCTTACTTGCCTTCGCCTTTCTCTGTGAGTAAAGAGGGTGCAGATGATTCAATTAGTGAAGAAATGAGTCAGTGATAGAAATAAACTTAAGTAAATGTAACTTTTATGTTTCCCTGCTTAAGTATTTAGCTGCATAGAGGAAAATTTTAAAGCAACATTGTTTAGATAAAATTTCATCCTTATCATAATAGATGTACTTCTCCATAGATTTTGAGATAGTTGGAGTAATTATTTTAAAGACAATTATATCCATTACTATTATTATTATTATTATTATTTCTAAACTGAAAATGGAATTATTGTATGCTTACAATAGATATTAAATACATAGTGTACATAAATTTTCATGTGCTAGGATGTATGTATAGAAGACCAGCAGAAACTACAGAAAAAGAACACATGAGGGATGCACATTACTAACAAACATCAGTTATTTCACAATTAACACTATTTTTCTGGCAATTTTTCTTTTTTCTTTTTTTAATATATTTCTATACACTATATGAAATACATTTTTGTATGAATTTTGTTTTCATAAGTAACATCTCACTAATATACCACAAAGAGGTGCTCTAAACCCACAGTAGCTATTGAGAGCAACTCTACCAAAACCAGATAGAACTGCTGCAAGCTCGCCTCAAGGTAGGAGTTTCTGATTTTAGTACTCTGTTTTTTAAGAAAAAAATAATTCTCATGGCAGTCACTGCGATAAAACTTGTGTCCAGCGGTAAAAACTTAAAATAATGAGATTCATAGCTGTCACCATATTAACAAGTCAGAGGAGATTTATTCCATGGAATAGATTTAGGCAGAATACTCAGCTATCCATCATCTTATTTTTCATAAATAATCTATTCAGTTGAATGTCTTTTTTCCCTGCAGTAATAACTATGTAATGAGTGAGTTGTTTGGCACAATTTTACAGAGGTTTCTGTCCTGATAACTGTGGTGCATGTGTTTAAAATACTATTTTTGTGAATCATTCTGTTGACTAAAGCTTCTTTACTTGCACATGTAAAGACGAGCATATATACGAGTCTTCACATAATCAGGACTGAAGAAACAAATTTCCCTGGAGACCTAATTTCTAAATCTTCCTTTAATCTAATTGAAATTAGTCGTGTAATCCCAGTTTTAACAATTTTTCTGAATCCCATCACCATTCTGATGGTCAGACAGGACAAGTGTGGCTGAGGCACAGAACTCTGAACACTGCATTATTCCTTGTCTGTATCCCTTCATACTAAAATAGATGGGGACGAAACTTGATTGCAGTCTCTGCAAGAAGTATATGGCTTTGAGCTATTCAACCAAAAGAAGAGTCACCTGCTGTAATGGCATCATCTGGGGGGTCTTCATGTAAGTCTACATTTACATGGAGACCATTGAAGTAAAAAATCTGAAATTCTGATTCTTCTGGAAAACTAAACCTACACATAGCACTGAAGAAATATTTTTCCATTTTGAGTTTGGGGAAATCTGGATCTGAATCGAGATGAAAGTTTATAGATCAAGTTTATTTGGAAGCAGCATTTGAACAGCCCCTTTTTTTCTCATCATTTATTTCTGAATATAATTTAGAAAGAGATGTACATAATACAGAATATGTCCCCTTCTGATCTGTATTCATTTTGTCTTATGTAAGATAAAGTTTATTTCTCTATTGGATTATTAATTGTTCTCCCTATGAACCTCTTTGCTTATGAAGAGATATGTTTCATTGTCAAGACACTTGAATTTCAGTGTCAACATTTAGCTTTGTATTTGTATTCCAATGTGAAAATATTTGGATACTTTGGAGCATTTAAATTTGAGAGTTTTCAAAGGAGATTTGCATTTTGTTTCCATATTATTTATAAAGAATCAATTCTGCATTTTGAAAGAGTATTGTCTGCAGTAATCAATATTTATAAATGTGAAGGAGGGAAGGAAGGAGAGAAGGGAGGAAGGAAGGAAAGAAGGGAAGGAGGAAGGAAAGAAGGGAGGGAGGAAGGAGAAAAGGGGGGAAGGAAGGAAGGAAAGAAGAAAGGAAGGAAGAGAGAGAGAAAGAGAGAAAGAAAGAAAGAGAGAAAGAAAAAGAAAGAAAGAAAGAAAAAGAAGGAAAGAATGAAAGAAAGAAAGAAAGAAAAGAAAGACTTCCAAAATGATGCTCCTGCCAATATGTCCTATATTTAATAAATGACTTTTCAACCCATTTTGATTTTTATTTCAGCAGGCAGTATCCTTCTATAATTGAAATATTATTTGTGCTAGTCAAAGTCTGCATGGTAATATAATTGTTTTGAGAGCTATACAGCAGTGGAACACAAAATTTGCTTTGGGAGACTGGTAGATAAGTAGGAAATTCAATCTGAATTCTTAAATCTAAAATATAAAGAATTACTGTACAGGTTCTAACTAAACACAGGATAGATGAAGCACAATTATTTAAAGAGAAGAACAGTAAGATCAGAGATACTGAAAAAAATTTGCAATTGAAAGAATATAAACATCAACCTTAGATATAGATTTCAGACTGTACATATGCTTCGAGTATATGAATGATCATACTGTGTTTGAATTTTTGCCTTGGTACCATCACTGCATCTCTTTTTAAGTCCATATTAAGTATTTTATTCCATTATCTTTTATGTCTAGATGCTTGCTAATTGAAGGTTCTTTAAAAGCTGCAGTGAATACTCTATGACTATAGAAAGCTCAGGCTGCATTGCCCGAAGTTGCATTAAGCAGAGCCTCATCAGCATTCAGCACCACTGCCATAGCGTTAAGCCTGGAAGAAGTGGGAAAAATTACCTACTGAAACATAAGAAGAGAAGATGAAAAGAGGTCAGCTAGAAGAAAAAAAGGCACCCTATTTCTGTTCTGAAGCGCCTTTATCTAATGGATCCCCTTCCCAAGCAATGTTGCAAATGGCAGGTGATGTGTTCTGCAAATAGATCAGCAATGTCACCTCTTAAATTGCACTTTTTGGCATTCAGGTGTTAAAACCAGTCAGCTGGTAGCCAGGCTTTATCTAAGGCTGTATTATAGAAAAAGAGTATATGTTAGATCATCTAGCAGCAATTACAGTAAAACACCTCTGGTTTGAGCCAGAATCACTGTTACTGTTGCTTCCTGCAGTGAATTCTGTCACTATCATATTTGCTTCCTTTTTCACTCCCAGGTGTCAGATATACTTGGCTAGGATTATTTTGCTGGGCTGAATTTGTTCCACAACTTCTCCAGAAACTGAGGTGATTGTTAGCTTTCTGACAGTTCTCAAACACTGAGATCTCAGTGAAAAATTGCAAAGATATATATCAAATTGTATTTTAAAAGGTATTGCCAAAGACATTAAATAAATTATGAGATACCCATTGTTAGACCTGCTCTAGTCACAGATGTAATATTTTTCATCTTCCATTTTTTTTCCTTTTGCCATAATGATCACTGCAGCAAGTTGTAAATGCAATGAGTCCCCCTGCTATCCATGGAGAGAACACAGAAATTGATTTATGATATTAATTTATGGTATTGTACTATGCAAAGTTCAGGTGCAGTCATAAAGTCTTGCTAGTTTCAGAAGTCTGTAGAAAGAAAGAAGGGAAGGAAGGAAGGAAGGAAGGATAAGAAACAATCAAAGGAAGAAAGATTAGAAATAGATTGAAGAAAAACATGTTATACCCCTTCTCACATATAAAAAGCATAAGAGAAATTTTATGTGCACAGATACTCTAACAGAATATTCTGTTGTTATTTGCAGTTTGTATAATTCTTGCTCATCTTATTAATTACCTAATATATTTGTATCCTACTGCTACTACCACTTATGGTTTACTGTTTGCATAAATCTATGTGGCTTATGTATTAATGTTCAGTCATAGTTTAAGTCTTGTGTAGCTTCATGAATTATTTTCACAGGCTATCCAAAGAACTGAGAAATGCTATGAGGAAAACCTACCATGAGGGTCTGAGCTGGGGAACAGAGATACTGTCTTGGGAGAAATATGAGGCAGTGATTGGCTGAAGCACAGTTAAAGTTCACTGGATTATGTGGAGAGGTTGGGTGGTGGTGAGAAGGCTTGCAGATGCAGGGGAGGGAGACTGAGGGAACGCAATTTGTTAAGGAAAAGAGGAGAAAGAAAAATTTTTCTTATGTGAAGAAAAATCTTCACATAAAATGAGGAAAGAAATAAGAAGTTCTCTAAGCCTTTTCTGCTCTAGCCTTTCCCCTACCCTTTAAGACAAATCACTGTCTTGGTTTCCTAGGTATAATGACATCTCTGTGCTCTTGATGGCAAAGTTCCTTTGCTCCTACATGTCTTCATTCAGTCAAGGCCTGACATTACTTAGAAGGCAAAAGAAGAACATCATTGGTGCAGAAAAACTGCTTTTCATATCGGTAAGAAAAGCAGATTAGAATTCTTTGATTTCTCATTCTGTCAACAGGTGTAAAAAACTAGAGGGATCCACAGGTCAAGTCCTCAATAGGGAAAGTGGTTGCCTGCAGTCTCCCCAAAAATGCAAAGAAAATACACACTGTATTGCAGGAGAATGAATTAAAAGATTTTTCTGTTAGTTCACTGATGTCTTTGTAAAGTTGCCTCAGCTCTAGCAGCAGTGATAAAGCCTTATTCCAAGGCAAAGATCAAAGCTTATGCTGGAACTTAGTGATTTTTGCTTTGTGATTTTCACTTTGTGATTTTCAACTCTCGTTTAAGTAACTGATGAAAATAGCATAATTTTTCAATTTCCAGTTCATCTTATCAAAACCTAATTTTTTGTTTTGGCTCATACTGTTGCCACTTAGACTTTGAAGAATAAAAATTACCATAGTCATAATGCTGTCAAAATTTCAATTGTAAACATACAGGAAATTTTTCCTTCCCCTTTCCCTTTCAGTAGTTTCTCATCTCTATCCAAACCAGACACCTGCATTTTCAATAACTGTCATTAAAAAGAAGTATTTTCCTTCTGGTCTGTGCTCATTTCATCCATTGCAACAGTTCTCTGTTAGTAGAGGGACAGAAGAAGGGAACCCATACAGAAGTGTTATCAGAGCCAAGACTAAAACATGTTTAGGCCCCCAAAAAATCCAAGTTTACTCTAAACCATACAAAATAGAAACAATTTTGTGACTCTTTTGAAAAGTGGATGTCCTGTTGTTCCATTTCTGTGTCATGTTGGTTTTGCTTTCTTTTTTTTTTTTATGGAAACATTATTTTCTCAGATACTGAAGTATCATATAGGTAATTTTTAAATCAAGTAAAATCAAACAACCATCTAATCAACTAGATGAATGTGATTGCCCCAGGTTGGTTTAATTTCGTATTTCAATACCTGGCCTCCATATAAATATTTGTCTTTTCACTTTCTACAAAAATTTACATGAAATTATTTTTAAAATTAGTTTAAGTTAGGTAAGGAATAAAAAAAAGGAACTAAAATGTAAATTCAAAAAGGTTTGAAGCTCATACTTTGAGTTTAACACAGTTTCAACAATTCATGGATTGTACATGATTTGTGTGGTCTGGAGTCTTTTATGCATGGAACAACTACACATGTGGATGATCTACAAGTCAGAATCTATGAGGTATTGATGCTGGAATGAAATTTCAGTATAGGAGCCATGTGCAATGAGCAGTGTTCATATTTAAAGTGGATAAAAATGAAATCTAAACCAGTTTTTGATTCACACAGAAACTTCATTTTACTTACTGGTAACAGGGATTCTTTGAGCAGCAATGACATATCCTTTTTTATGAGGTTGTTCTCTGACTGGCTGAATGTTACAAGAAGATCATTCCCCTAACCAGACTCAGTGCTACTTTTTCACACTATTACATTAAGTAATTTATTTCTACTGAATGAAGATTCTCTAAAGAAAGTTATTAAATCTACATGCATCATTTGATACAACAGAAATGAAGTCCCAGCAGTAGAATACTTTCTTAGGAACAATGTTTTTCAGTGTTCATGAGCATTTACTTTCAGTAGGTGTTTGGCATCTCTCTCTCTATGTGTTTTTTTAACAATAAGTTACTGCCATCCTATGATAATGTCTTAAACTCATCCAACTTTTCCTATGAATTTTAAAAATATAAAAGCAATAAAACATATTTATTTATTCTATATTATATGTATTATTTATATCAAATATAATATATATTTATTAAATATGAACATTTATATAAAGTTGTGGCTTGCTAAATAACTGAGGATGACCAACATATTTCTACTTCCACTAACTTGTGAATCTAACAAGATATTGACAACAATTACCAAAATTTCTACTCTTTATTCAGAACAAGTTCATCTTTCAACTTCTTCGAGCTAACTGAGGTGACAGGAAGGAAAACATGCTCTTTATAAAGCTGTTCCAGTTACATGAATTGGTACACTGGAAATGGGACCAGTGGTTTTATCTAGCTCAGAATCTCAGAATCTCATTTCAAATCATTGATATAAATATTAGAGCTGATTACTACTACTCTTTGAATCCTCGAGGACTACAGCTAACTTAGATTATTGCTTCCTGAATATGTCATCCAGGAAGGGGAAATGGACATTACAGTCCAATCCTCTACAATGAAGCCATATTTTAGTGTGAAAGTCTGGTCCACAAAAGGACTTTCTTTACAGACTAAGAAAGTATGACTTTGTATATGAATTTTCTATTCTGATTTTTTTTTCCCACACTTACCAATAACGCACTTTAGTATCTTCCGGGAAAGTACTAAACACAGGACTAACATCTGTTACTTGGTAAAAATACTATTCCTGATTCTTGCTGCTAAGTGAGGTTTCTTTTTTTCTTTACCCTTGTACAATACCACAAATGTAATTCAGTGTCTCTCTGAAAGCAATTATTTTCTTTTTTTTTTATTTCTGCATGAATTAGAAACTTCACTCACCTCAACTTACATTCCTAAGCAAAGAAAAATGAAATCATATAGCTGTGTGCCAGCTGCTGGCACCTGATGATGCACCATTGCAGCATTCAGAATAAAATGGGGTCTATTTTCAGTTAACCTGAACTTAATATGTACTGTGAGTGAGTCAGTAGCATGTTCTTTATAGAGCAAAGTAGTGTGGCAACTAGTTTTTGAATGTTGCAAAACATTATAACAGTTTTAATAATTTCTAAAATAAAAGAACATGCTCTTTTCAATTGCTGAAAATGAATGGAGAAAGACACATGAAAAAGGGGAAAGAGTTTAAGAATCCACATTTGCCACTCCTGTCCAGTCTTGCCTTGCCTTAACAAGCTCCTGACAATCTCTTCAAAATACGGGTATACTCTGAGAACCTGTTCTTGGCTTTGAAGGTACAAGCACACTGCACTGCGTATCTTATGCATGTGACTTCAAATGCAGTAGCAGATTATAAAAGGTAAGTGTCAATGCAGACTCATGTATCCAAGGAGAAGCCTGAACTCTCACAATAACTCAAGTATACTAATATTTAAGTAGAAATTTTATATCACTACTGTGTGATAAGATGAATTGTCAGGTCGCAAAAACAAATGATAATAACATTACTGAAGAAATAGTAGGACTATGAAGTTACAAGGTATCATAAACCCCAAATGTTTTAATACCTACTTCTGTTTTAATTTGAATATATTTTATGTTGAGACACTCAAGGCCTGTTGAACTGGACCACAGCCAGGAAATGCCTGTATAGACAGTGTGCTCAATAAATGCTATTGTTTCTCACCTACACTGAAACCTCTTTTTGATTAAATGAACAGAATCCAGGATCTTATCTATTGACAATTTAAATCAGTGTGTTCTGATGTAGAAACAGAATAAGCAAAGTAAAGAGGATACTCCAAATAATCTCCATTCCATTAAGATAAGGTGCCATTGCTTCACTCCATTTTGTCATTTGCTTAGGTAAGTTTGCTTGCTTCTAAAGGTTAATATAGATAGCAGATAAATTATGTGTCTGTACTTCATGAAGGGGGAAAAGGTTCTGAGTGATAATACATAAGGTGTAGAAATTAAAAATTCCAAACAGGAGAATTCCAAAGGCTAGTTAATAATATCGAGAGCTGTTTGCTTGTTTGGTTTGGTTTTTTTTTTTTTTCTTTTTTAATCAATACAGTTTATATTTTTAAAGGGGTTTTTTTCCTGTCTTATTCTTTTTTTCCAGAGAAAAATCTTATGTGGCATACATACAGCAGATTATTTTGAAACATAGTTCGAAATAAGGGAGTGTAGATTTTCAGGAAGCCTGAGAACCTGTGTAAATCTGGGCAGAGTGTGTCTCTGCCGAATGCAGAGATCGAGAGAAATTCTGAATTGATAGAGAAATTAACCAGCAAGTGCCAGGAACAGTACAACTGCAGGGGGGGGAAGCTTTGGATGAACAATTTTGTTTTTCAGAAGAGTCAATTAAGTGCCGTGGAGCGTACAGCAACTCAACTGCTCCAACACTCAAGCTGGCACAGTTTCAGTGACAGTGGCATCTACCTCTACACTGCATTGCAGTAAAGAATGTAAACTTTAACTTGAAATGAGATTGAAGGGGCTACGAGCAAGTTGTGACTTGCCTAAACAAAGAGAATTTCCCTTCATTTCTCTAGTAGCAATCATCAGTGCTATTTCCATAAAGCAAAGTTGCTGGTGTAAGAACTACTTTGGCTGAGTTTAGGTCAACTAGTTTACCTCTGTTGGGAAAAATACAGCATGGCCATATTCATCGTCAAACTCAGATAGCAAAGGAACCAGAAATTTGGCACTTCATGTACTTGCCAAATGATGCTGTCATTTATTATTGTACGTTACTCAGGGTTTACTTTCTGAGTGATTTAATTTTCTTTTTCTCAAGAGAATTTCTATGGAAAAGATTATGGAAGAAACTTTGCAGAGCTACTCTTACTTTGTACCTTTCTTCTAATATAGTTCATTATCAACCTTGAAAAATGTTTGATGTCATAAATAGTAATGTCCAGCAGAGGAGCTTGAGGAATAATATATTTATTTTTATTGACCACAATACCGCTATAATTTTCTACAGGCTGATGCTAAAGGCTTTTTTTTTTAGGTTGAATCAGCTGACATTTCCTTTAATACTCAAAATTCTAAGAGTGCTTTTCCCACCAAGGGTACCAAAATTCAGTATCCCATCTGGTTTTCAAGTTCAAGATTTTTTTTCCTCAAGTATTTATGCATTGAAAAAGCTACAAACTAGCTACATGTAAAAGATTAAGAATGAAACTCATGTAATTGAAGATCCATTTTGCCTGTCATTCCAATGTAAGGTAAAACAATGCTTTGCCCTTCTGTTGATTCTTCTCTTTCAACTTTCACCTCTTATTTTGGAGAATTCTCTAGCATTGTACATTTCAAATATAAAATTGTTAATATGGAAGGTAAAAATTTAGAATGAGACAGAAAAGGTATATACCATAGCCAAAAAGGTTTGAGGAATGTAATTTCATTGATATTAGTCCATACAATCCTGTTCATCTGGGATGGCATGTAGGCCTCTAGGATTTATTATTAATGATTAAAACTCATAGCATGGCATTCTTTTTTTATTGTCCTTTACAACCTGTCACAACATATTCAGCCTTTCTACATGACTTTACAATCTGAATATTTGAATCTCAAAAACTTTAGTCCCTGGCGAGGTTCTAGGGAAACTTCCTTTTCCCTGATGACATACGTAAGAAATAGACTTCTCAACAGAAAAGGACTTTGATTGGCAGTTAAAATAAAAAATTAATTCGAAGTATTCAAGCTCAAAACCATCTTCAGGTTGATGGATACGGCATTATACATGAAATGTCAGCAGATCCTGATTTAGGATAAAGCTGAGTATGTGCCAGAAAAATAAGTATTTTTTTTATTAATCACACATAGTCAAATCAAGTTATTGTCTAGGGATTACAGAAACAAAAAACGCAAGGAAAGGTGTTACAGGTTTGCTTGTTTTAAAGAAATGACCTGGCTGGGAATTTTTCCCTGTCCCAGTGTGAAAGAAAAGTGTTGAATGAGGCAGAGGGGGGGAGAGGGAGGTAGCCCGTAGCCCCACATTCCAAGCTAATTGTCTCAGAAGACCGTGGGGGGGAGGTGAATTTTGCTCCTGACAAAACTGCTTCTTATTTTTTGCTCTTGTCCGGGACTTGGGGAGGGATTGTGTGGACAGAAAAAAGCTCCAGGTTTTCATCTTTGTTTTTGGCCAAGTTGCCTGGTTGCCTTGACCCCGGTCCGCCGCCGTTTCCCTCAGCCCCAGCCCTGCCCACTGTCCGGTCTGCCTCGGATTTCATCAGAGAAGCCAGGACCATCTGCGGAGAAACTTCTGAGGGAAGAGGCCGCCCCTTCCCTCCTCCGTTCCGGTATTGGCAGCAGCTTGTACCCATCGATGAAGCGTGGGGGAATCCCAGCCAGAGCCAGCCGCCGACAGCGTGAGTCCCCCTTTCCCCTTTTCTCCTTCCCCTCTCGGCGTGTGAGGGAATCACCCTTCGGCTTCTCCCGCAACCCCAGGGCCCAACAGCGCCCCCTGCCGGCCACCACCGAGCAACTGCAGGCTCTGCTCCTCCAGGGATCCAACAGCGCCCCCTGCTGGTCATGGTTAGAATTGTGCCGAAAGGCAAAAAACTTTTTCTTTGGGTGGGAATTTGGGTGCAGGATTGTAGTTTGTTTTTTGTTCTTTTGGTGTGCTACCTATACACATATATGGTTTAATAAAGGGCTGCTTTCTTTTTCTTTCTCCACATTTCTTCCACTGGACCCTCTTAATTCGGATTTACAATTGCTTAGAGGGGGAAGCTTGGTCTTCCTCATAACTCACCCTCCTTAGCAAACAGTTCTGTCTCGTTAAATTGAGACAAAAGAATACTTTGATGATATCCAAACTAGGCTGTTGGCCTCTATCCAACTGGCATTTACTGTGACATTGGATAAAGTTGGTAAAAAAAAAAAAAAGGAAAAAATAATGAGTTTGCTTATTGGTAAGAAAATAGGAGACATTGGAAGATTAGGATAATATGAACCTGTAAACTGACGAGGGTGTTAGGAACTGGGAAAGAATAAGGATAACTGAATTTAAAACTTGTTTGATTCTATCTGGTGTCTAAGTCAAAAATTTTTTAAGGATTCCAGATTCCTCAGTCTGGTATCTTTCCTAATTCAGGAGAACAGATGTTCCACACCAATTCTTCCATTTTCTTTTATTCATGCTAAAAAATGAGCCTAGATTAAGATAAGAGAATGAAATTTATGGCATATAGTGAATACAGATGCACTTTATTTCCTGACTTTTATAGAGTAGTAGAAAGTTCTCTTTTTTAAAAAATAAAATAATGTCACTGGTTTCTACCTCCTCCAACTCCTGCTAGAATCAGAAGATAAATTTAACAAATACACTATGATTCCAGTGCTTGTCTACAGAAAAAAAACACTTCGTTTTTTCTTTAAAAAAATGGAGAAGTTTCATTAGATTATTATTTAAACTCAGTTCAGTCCTCCTGGAATTTTCAAATTGACTGCTGAAGGACAAATCTTTTATTTGTAATGTTTTTACTTTTCTCAAGTTCTTATTTCTGCAGGGAACTCTGTAGATAATGTTTTTTCATGTAGATATATTCAGAGACAGTAAATATTTTCTGTATAGCAGTGGCTGCATAATGAGATATTTTCTTCCTCTGTTGTGTAACTTGATACCAAGATCTGCCAATTGTCATGTTATGATTTTGCTTTGAGATAATTTGTTACATTTCTTTCTTTGCTTTGAAATCAACATGATAGGTTTGATACATATAAAACATTTATACCATTTAATAATTGCAAAGAGCTTTTCTCTTTGTTATTATTGCTGAACATTTTTAGGTGTGGTTCTGTTTTGCACTGAATTCTGAGCATAACCCACCAGATGCAATAATTTATGCCTGTAAGAAATTAGACTTGTGAACACTTATTTTCTGAACATTGTCATAACTAGATTTCCGTAGAGTTCCTTCTAATTTACATTAATTTTAATTATATTTTTTGGCTCATTTTTTTTGCACAATTCAGCAGGGGCAGCATAGAAATTAAGTCTAAATACTGATCTAAAAATTGTTATATTCAGTCTTCTCATTTTTCAAGTCTACTATTTTACAGATATTTGGAAATAAGTATAAAATACTGTTTCTTTGAAAAAGTAGAACACCAGAGTTCTTTATAAGCTTCCCACGACCTTTCATTTTGGAGTAGATTCCTGTATGAGACACTTCTGCTGGAGTGATTTGATTCTGCAGAATAATATAGTTCTTAAATAAGAGTATGAATAGCTTTTCTTTTTACTTGCCTGTTTTTAATCAATAGAAAACTTTTTTTTTAGAAGAGTTTAGTTTATCAACCAGTGTCCCCAGTTCTGTGTAGAAGTGTCAGAAAACCAAACTATATCTGTAGCTTTTATAGTCCCGTAACAACATTTGAGGATGCGTCATGAGCAAAAGAACAGCTCATGGAACATTTGCAGGATGGGCTAATGCATCCACAATAGAGTTTGCTCATGTATGAAAAAAAGGAGGAATGAAAAAATTGTCCCTTTTGTCTATCTACAATAGAAACTCCTCTTTAAAAAAAAAACATCTATTAAATTTTAATCCATCAACACTTGGAGTATCATCAAATTACACTCATTGATTTTGCAAGTTACACCAAACCTGGAGGGAGGTGTAGGGAGTGGACCAGGGCAGGGCTTCTGTTGAGAGGGACCTCATGAGGGTGGAGGAATGGACTAATAGGAACTTTAAGAAATTTAACAAAGACAAATGCAGAATCCTGCACCTGGGAAGGAAGACCTCCTTGAGACAATGCAGGCAGGAGACTGACTAGCTGGGGCACAACTCCATGGCAAAGACCTTGGGGCTCTCAGGAAGAAAGTGACCTAAACATGAACCAACATAGTTTCCTGGCAGCAGAGAAGATCCTCAGTATCTGAGGCTGTATTCGCTGAGGTAGAACCAGTATTTTGGGAAAAGTTATTATCTGCCCTGTACATGGCATTCCTTAGCCCAGACTTAGGTACTATGTGCAGTTTGGGTCTCAGTTTACAAGAAAACTTGAGTATGATTTACAGGCAAAACTCTGGTAAACTCCAGAGAACCATCAAGATAATTGGGGCGTGGAGCACATGCCCTGTGAGGAGGTGCAGAGGGAACTGGGGTTGCTTAGAAGGAAAAGAAGTGGCTTGGGAGGGACCTGATAGCAGCCTAACAATAAATCTCAGGAGGACACTGACCAGAAGGCTGGATTTATCAGTTTATTTCCCGTAGGAGAACTGTAATATGAAACCAATGAATTTGTAGAGTAGGGCTTGCCTAATATAATACATAGAAAATTGATCATAAAATTATTGTACTGTAAATCTTTGCTGAGTTTTAGGTAGGTGTAGTGTCTGAGGAGTGCTTCGTTTGTTCATAATTTGGAACATCTAATTTTAATTTCTAAGAAGTCAATAGTAATCCAAAATAAAATGAGACTGAAAGAAGTCTTAGTGAAACCATTACGTGGCTATAAAATAGTTTCTTATTTCTTTTATCTGGAAGTTTTGAGCAGACAAGTATTTTCCAGCATAGCTATCAACACTTCCAAACAACTGAAGAAATAACATAAACTAGCACAAAAAATGAAGCTTCCCATACTCACTGTGTTTTCATTTAATATTCTTGATGTTAATAAATTATTTCAATAGAATGTAATAATAGTAGATTTCTCTATGACAGGAGCAAATTTTCATTTAAAGCAAGACCATCCATTATAATCAGAGACACAGTACTTAAACTGAAGATCACCACTCAGTTAAAATAAAAAATAATGAAAGTGTCATCTTTAATAGAAAATGTCATATGAATACATGACAAGTGGTGCATATTCAAAATGTTTTCTCTAAGTCATGTATGTAATTTTAGATTTTAGAACTTAAAAAACACTTTACTGCTTTTCAGTTGCCATGGGACACTACATCTATACTTTTATTTTATTTGACACATCAGAGTCCATAAAGCTACTTAACTGTATGTTTTTTTTGACAGTAGACAACCACTGAAACAAATATATATTAAATCCACAAAGAGTACTTACAAATGGAAGTGGGCAGACACAACTTAAAGTTGTGTTTGATTCTAAGGACTTCTGCAACATAGAAAATTTAGAAAGGGCTTTGAGTTGTCTGTGAGTATCAGTGTGACCCTGAGACTAAATACCAAAACCTTGGGCAACACAATAATAAAATAAAAGATAAAGATTTGTGACTCCATTATTTGGTACAGATTTGTAAATGAAATATTGCTGTCTCAATCAAGGAGGCTAGCATAATATTTTGCAACTATGTGCTCAGGATTATGGAAGTAGTGTGGTTTTGACTATAAAAAGTTTATAGAGAAATGAAAAAAAGTACAATACCTGTTCATCATAAACCTGTGGTGAAACAAAAAGGGTCAAAATTTTTATTTTTATTTGTCTATTGATCATATTATGCTACCTATTACTTATTTAATTCTTGCTATAAAGAAGGATATGAATCACTAAAAATCATAATAATATATATTTTTTTAATCTGGTTCATTTCCCAAACACATACAAGAGTATTTTGTTCTTCATGAAAGTACCCCACCTCTCATTAAATAAAATGCTGTGATTTTTCTCAAACACCATCTACAACATTGTCACCTTTTCTTAACTTTAAAGTAAAATTATACTATATATGATTAGTGAGTAATATATATTGATTGATGATTAATTAGGTCTTCTAGGAGCAAGTCTGCTCACCAAGTATATACACCATATATTCCAACATCTGTTGTTTTAATTCCAGAGCTGTGTAGGGAATGTATTACCTTTTTATTCAAAGAGAAAACATTAAGAGGACACTTAAGAAAGACAGAGAGGGAGATAGCACCAGGACCCAACAGTACACATTAAAGCTTTCTACGTAAAATGAAAAAATGAAGTTGATTTACAAGTCACAAAATGGCATAATGTCTCATTGTAATCTATATTGGAAAACTAGAAAGTGACAAATATAGCTTAAAGAAAATGCTAGGTCCTGGGGAGAACAGCCCATTAAACCATGCAATACAACAGAATTGCTTAAAATGATATCTTAGGAGGATTGTAGAATGATGTAAGTAGGTACATACAGCATGCTAGAGAAAAACAACCTGAACATCAGAAATCTTCTGCATTTTATTAAAAATTTTAGAGCATACTGACAAGTTGAGGCTAGAAGAGGCAAATCAGATTTTATGATTTGGCCTTTTTTAAAAAAATAAACTTTATTTTAAAAGCAATCTTTAGTAAAAGTTTTCTTACAGAAGGTCACTCATTAAAATGAAGAATGCTTACAACAAGGAGTGAAGTTCCAACATGAATAGAAATACAGCACAGCAGCAGAAAGTTAAACGGGTAGTTGTAGACAAGAATAATCGTAGTAGAGGCCAGGAAGAGCTCCAAGTCCTTGCATCTGGACCCTATCAGTTTGAATGCATGCATCCCTAATTCCATTTAATCAAGTTCTGTTCAAATACTGTACACAGAGTTAAAAATAGTATATTTACACTACTCCTCTGTACTGACACTAGATGTTACAGGAATATGACATAAAAGCTACAGCTGTTAGAGTTCTCTGATTTCTCTTGTTTAACAAGAAAATTATAAAACATATTCTGGTTAAAAATGAGAGCAAAGAAAAATATAGCCAGGACTAAAGACTGTCATAAACCCATTTCTGAGTTGCTTCAAAATCTAAACCAAGTTCAGGAGGAGACCTTCAACAAGGTGATCTTAAATGAGAAAATAACAATTAAAAATAAA